TAGGTACCTGAGGTCCCAGCGACTCCGGAGGCTGAGGCAAGATGATTGCTTGAGCTTAAGAGACTGAAGTTGCTGTGAGCTATGGCACCACAGCGCTCTACCAAGAGCAAGAAAATGAGACTGTCTCAAAAAAAAAAATTGTGGCTACATATCATATAATTTCAATTATGTGGCATTCTGAAAAAGGCAAAACTATGGAAATAAGAGAAAGGTCGTTAGTTGCTGGATGTTGGTGGGTTGGGGGAGAGTTGAACAGAGAGTTGAACAGAATTCAGAGGATTTTTAGGGCACTATAAGATCATACTTGTCCAAACCTATAGATTATTTTGAACCTCAAGAATGTACCCCAATATGAACTATGGACTTTGGGCAGTAATGACATGTCAGCATAGGTTCATTCATTGTAGCAACTGTACCACTCTTGAGGGGATGTTGATAATTGGGAGAGTCTGTGCATGTCTTTGGGGGCGGGGTGGTGTTTGTGGGAACTCGTAATACTTTCTGCTCAATTTTGCTGTGAACCTAAAACTGATCTAAAAAAATGCTTTAAAAAAATAAAAAAGGTTCTTCCTCTATATATAGTCTTTTGTAACTTCGCTTTTTTACTCCACATTTTGTTTCTAGGATTTATTCGTGCCAATGGGTGTAATTGCATTTCATTCACTAGTGTGTAATTTTCCATCGTGTCTCTGTTCCACAACCAAGTTAAGCATTTTCCTATGTGTGTATTGTTTCTGACTTGTTACAATAAACAGCACTGCCATGGACATATTTTACTTAGTTCTTTGTGTACAACTACACCAGGTCTCTAGGCAAACATTTCTCTAGGATATGTATAAAGAATAGAAATAGAGGGTTATAGGGTAAGTGCATTTTTATCATTATGAGATAATACTAAATTATTTTTCAAAGTGGTTGTACCAGACATATATGAGTGTTGAGTCATTTCACGTTTTCACTCGCAGGCTTTGTAAATTTTGCCCATCTAGTAAGTGTAAAATGGAATCTCACTGTGGTTCTTATTTGAATTCCCCTGATCACTAAGAATGTTTTGAGCATTATTGCCTGTTTATTTGCTACTTGTGTTCCTTCTCTTGTCTTTTGATATTTTCTCCTTTATGTACAGATGTGTAGGAATTCTTTAGAAATTCCTCATACTAATTCTTTGTTAGTTTTATATGTTGTATTTCCTTTCTGCTTGTTGTCTTTTCTGTTTTCTTTGTGATATCTTTTGATTAACAGATATTCTTTAATTGATTTTATGAAGCTTTTCTGATTTTTGTGAATGGTGTGAGGTAAGGATCAAGTTTCTTTCTTTCTTTCTTATCGCCCCAGTTTGGATCACTGATTTATTCATGCACCGTTTCGTCCATAGGGTTTCCTTAGCTCACTAATTTGCCATATACCAAGTTTCCTTATACGTGTGGGCTTGTACTGGATTCTCTGTTCTGTTCCATTGGTTACACTGTTTATCATAGCATTGATAACTCACATTCTTTCTTGCCCATACCTTTAGAAACAGTATTTTTTTTCTTAATTAAATCATAACTGTATATAGAAGCAGTCTTGATGTCTGGCAGACGCAGAGCTTTTAATGTCCCACTGGTTTTTTGCATCACATACTTCATTTGATCCCTACAAACTCTCTGAGGTTGGGAGATCAGATGTTTTCTTCCATGGACGGATACCTCATAAGCTTTAGCCAAGGTCATGAAATCAAGATACAACAATAATTGGACCCAGGCAGAGGAGGGGTTGGTGCTAGTTGGTTACATATCAGGTGGATGTTATTTGTCTTTACAGAACCTTTAAACATTGGGGGAATCGTGGGAACCATTGTGAGCCTCCTCCTGCTGGGACTGGCTATTATCTCAGGGCTTCTGTTGTATTACAGCCCCATGTTCTGCTGGAGAGGTAAGAGTTTCTCAGGTCTCTTTGCTATTTCAGTGTGGGTGGGGGAGGGAGAGGAGTCCTGTCATATGCCACCTGAAGTCCCATTCAAAAGGCTTCTTCACTGGGCCGAGATGTGCAATAATGAGGCACCTAAGTCCCATCCCTGAAGACCCTATCACCTCTCATGTTGGGTCCGTTTTCTCATTTGTTCCTCTTTTGCAAAGGTTACCCTGATTAAAAACTTCTGTGAGGGGCACCTGTGGTGCCCTACTCCTGCCTGTGGCTCAAAGGAGTAGGGCGCCAGTCCCATATACCATAGGTGGCAGGTTCAAACCCGGCCCTGGCCAAAAAACTGCAAAAAAAAAAAAAAAAAAAAAACTTCTATGAGGTTGCAGTGGATGTTACTGGATATTAACTCTTTTTCCTTTCTCTCTTCAGTAGGAAACACTGTCAGGTGAGTGTTCCCTAGACTCAAATCAAAAACCCTTTCCATGACCTGTCATCACTACTGTTTTCTTTCCTTTCATAAGAACAATAATGGCAACTACCACTGAGGACATACCATGGACCAAGGGCTTCACCAGGCATTATTATAAACTCTTTCATAACCTCTTCATGGTGGTGGTGGTGGTGGCATCTCCATTTTCCACATAAGGAGATGGAAGCTCAGTGAAGAACATTTCTGCAGGCTCATCTAGGAAGTAAATGTCAGTGCCTCCCTTCACATCCAGGTCTAATTGATTCCAAAGTCTTTCCTGCTTTATAACACCAAACGTCAGGGCTGGGCACATCACTGTCTGCCATTAAGACATAAAGACAATGTGTACACATTGAGCCCAGTCATTTGTGCATTAGCTTTATCCAATTTTCTAAAGAGAGCTAAAAGGAAGAGTAAGTCATAGTCTCATAGGATGTTTTGAAAAAGTAACCATGAATGCTCAGAAGCCCCTCCTAAAAGGAAATCCCAGTAGGGGCAGAGTAGCCAAGGGGATGGATATATTTCATTTTCTAAGGAGATTCTAGGTAGAATTTTCTCTGTGATCTGATGGCAAAATATGTTCTTTTTATCTGTTCATAATGAAGGAATATTATTATTTGGGACCCTCTTTCATGGGAACATGTTATGTTTACTGCCCTATTTTGGAGAGCCGTTCTCCCCATAAGTCTGTCATTCCCTGGGCTTATTTCACACAGGAGACAGCAGTGTGGCACAGTGGGACAAGGCTTTGGAATCAGTGGACCTGGGTTCAAACTACAACTGTGCCATCCCTAAGCCCTGCCCATAGACAATTCCTGACCCTCTCTGAGCCTTCATCTCCTGATCTTTTTCACTGAGGGAGTCCAAGAGGATGAAGTGAGAGCGTAATGCTCCCTAGGACTGATTGACCGGTGGCATGCATACAGTCTGAGTGGGAGGGCAGGGCCAGACAAACTACAGGGCAATTAAGTCTAGGCTGCCAGATGTGGACTTCACATGCAATCTCAGTTCAGGGCTTTTGGGGGAGGAAAAGAACTTTACCTGGACCTTATATAAGGGGTGGGGGGAAGATGCCAGTACATAAAGCAGAATAAAGGCATTTCAGAAAAGAAACACAGCATTTTTATACATGCTGTGAGGGAAGACAGATGCCTGGGATAGTGTAGGAGTTGTCCCAGACAGCTGAAAGGAAGAGTAAGTCATCGTCTTACAGAATATTTTGAAAGAGTAACCATGAATGCCCAGAAGCCCCTCCTAAAAGGGAATCCCAGTAGGGGCAAAGTAGCCAGTGGGATGTGGATATTTCATTTTCTAAGGAGATTCTGGGTAGAACCTTCTCTGTGATCTTATGGAAAAATAGGTTCTTTTTATCTGTTCATAATGAAGGGATATTATTGTTTGGGGACCATCTTTCATGGAATGAAAGAATAGGAATAATGAAACACACCCAGCAAAAGATCTGATCATCTGTGGCTATCCGTGGCGCCATCTCTGTGAAATTATAACCATATACATTGTCATCTCTTTGACTTAACCAAACTGAATGCATGGAGGATTCTCTATGTTACTAAAGGGGTTGCAAAGTATCTAGTGTTTCCTATTCAATGAGGGCGGAAGTTGAGAAAAACAAGATATTTTCTTGATTATTTTTTCCCCTTTGGAAATTAGGGGACAAGACATGGGTGATGTCATGGTTTTGGTGGATTCAGAAGAGGAGGAAGAAGAGGAAGAGGAAGAGAATGCTGTAGAAGAGGAAGAGGAGGGAAATTGGAGAGAGTTGCCTAAACAAAGAGCCAAGCATGATCACATTCACAGAGTGACTGCACTAGTGAATGGGAACATAGAACAGATGGGAAATGGATTCCAGGATCTACAAGGTAAATTCTCTTTCCCTTAAAAAACACTGCAAACCACTGTGACCTTCCCAAAGGGAAATCTTTAAGGGAAAGGTTGCGTTTTTAAAGGCTGGGGAAGATAGTTGAAAAGTTTAGTCTAGAACCTGAGAGTCTATTATCAACTATTAACATGAAAATAATCTTGACAAACATTTATCCAGGGCCCACTCTAGGACAAGCACAATATTGGCATTGTTAGGGAATAAGAAAGGAAAACTGGCTGGACATGGTGGCTCATGCCTGTAATCTTAGCACTTTGGGTAGCCAAGGTGGGAGGATCCCTTAAGGTCAGGAGTTTAAGGCTGTAGTGAGCTATTATTGTGCCACTGCACTCCAGCTTGAGAGACAGAGCAAGACCTTGTCTAAAAAAAGAAAAAGAAAAAAGAAATGGGAAGATTGATAGTGTCTGCATGCAGAGAGTTTTACAAGACCAGTTGGAGTGAACAGACTAAAGCACATGAGGAAATGGAAACAGAAGCAAAATTTAACCAACACACGCAGAGAGCAGGAGAGGAAGTGTTGCAAGAGGGATTTGATTGCCTGTTGGATGATAATGTTTAAAAATTGCGGGACCTTGGAGAAAGACAAGAGTCTGGAGGGCGTGTTGGTTAGGGGAAGTTTTATGCAACATTTAGACATGAGGCAAGTCTTTAAGGACAGTGGAGTTGGAATAAACAGAACGGAGAACAAAAGGTATTCCCAGGTGAGGGCCTAGGCCAGCATCATGCCCGGCTAGAGGGTTCTAAATAGGTGAAATATAAGAGAATAGGTGAAAAGAGAATACACACTTCTCCATGAAATCCAATTCTGTGGCTCACCAGAAAAGGACTAGAAATCACCAAGATAATTGAAGACTGATAGTAGAAATCACTCTGTTAAGATCACTCCAGAGTTGGTTTATTTTATCTCCTGTGCAGATGACAGCAGTGAACAGCAAAGTGACAACATTCAAGAAGAAGATAGGCCAGTCTGAAGAAGAGAATTATTCATCCGTATCTTCTTGAAAGCTTAGAAGATGAACTCTTCATTCAGCTTTGATTTGATTTGCAGCCCTGCTGGAGGCTTGCATTAGCAACGTTTGGGTCTCTCGGCAAAAAAAGAAAAACACACCTTTTTCCTTCCATTTTAAAAAAACGACAACCTGGTTTGATTTGCTGTAAGTTTTCTCAGCGATGCCAAAAAGCTTTGGAAAGGAGCCGTATATGTGGGAAAGCTGAATTTGGTGTTTGAGGTGCTACTTTGGCTGACTCCTGGCTTTATCCAGGTTGACCTGTTGGAACAGACACTGATTTGGAGGGAGTATGGGTGAGAGGAGGACTTGGCCTTGGTGACCTTTGCTACTATTAAAGGCTTATAACCAGCTTGCTCTAGCACAAAAGGGAGTATAGTAGGGTGGTGGGGAAACTTCCTTTATTACTGCCCAGGTGAGCTTGTGACCAAGGAACTGGGCAAATATCAGCTCCCTGGGAAAAATAAGGTTTCAGCAACCAACGTAAGTCAGAGGAAGGCGGTTTGGTTCAGAGTCTCACTTTGTCACCCTTGGTAGAGTGCCGTGGCATCACATAGCTCACAGCAACTTCAAACTTCTGGGCTCAAACGATTCTCTTGCCTCAGCCTCCCAAGTAGCTGGGACTACAGGTGCCAGCCACAACGCCTGGCTATTTTTGAGAGACAGGGTCTCCCTCTTGCTCAGGCTGGTCTTGAACTCCTGAGCTCAGGTGATCCGCCCCACCCCGCCTTGGCCTCCCAGAGTGCTGGGATTACAGGCATGAGCCAACGCCCTGCTACTATTGTGTCATGGGCTCAGGCATCTTTTACCTTTGCCTGGGCCCCAATTTCTTCATGTGTAGAATGGGCGAAATTACACCTACCTTCCAGGTTTGTGAGGACTAAATGAAATAATTTGGGAGACAAAAGTGCCCAGGAGGTGCTCAATGGAGGTTAATTACTCTTTTTTTGGCCTCTAGTGGAAGAAAAGTGTTAACTGTAAGTTACAAGCTGCTGCCTATCCTTTTATTCTGCCTTATAGAATGGTTTCATAGGAGAGCATTATCAGAGGGCTCCTGACAATTTTTGTTTTCCTGGAGATAGAATTCTTTTCAAAAGAGGTAGGAGCTGATAAGAGGAAGTGCCTTTCATTGTAACCTCACATTTTGCAGAGCTTCATATTTATATTATATAAAAGCCTCCTACATGATACACTGAGTTTTCAGAACTTTCCCATTCTTCATTTCTCCCCATTGCTTTGAAAGAAAGCAAGAGGTATTTTATAATGGAGTACTTGGTGATAAGAGCTCCTTGGGCGAACCGGTTCATCTGGCCTCTGTTTCTCTCTCTTAGAAATGGGAACAGGAAAGCTTGTTTCCTTCCTCCACCTCAAGGGTATCATGAGGATACACTGATCAATAACATTAAATTTTGAATGAAAATACTGCTGAGTATACGTCTCTGATGTTTCTAGTAGATCCTTGTACAGTCGGAGATTTAATTTTTCTGATTTCATCAAAAGTTCTTGAAGTTGGGGACCTTAGAAAGGTACAGTGGGTATGTGCTAAACATGAAAATCTGACTTGAATTTGGACCCTTTAATGTTGCATATCCTGCTCTAATAGGCAAGACCTAGGGCTTACAGGGGAACTTCCCTTCTCCTATACCAAGAGCTGAGATTCCTAAGGTGAGAAGTTTGTTATTGTCTGAAGTAACCCTGCAGGTGTGGTTAGGAAAAGTCTTGGGTGACGGGATCAAACTTAACAATCACCAAAAGCGCGCCCTGTCCCCAGCTCAGGACACTGGGGAGCTTTAGCAGCTGATTGCAGTTTCTACTCCTCAGGAATAGCTGTGAATCAAAGTTCCACCTGGGTAGGTCTTTGGCTACACGGTAACTCATATATTTAAGCATTTGCAGCAGCGCAAATTAGTGTCATTTCACTCAGGTTGCTTCTAAAGTCACTAAAGACTGAACTTGTCTTTCCTTTAGAATCTTCAGTAACTAAATTCCAGAATTTAAGAGTCCACTATTCAGAGGCAACTAGATTTAAAAAAAGAAAAAAAAAGAGAAAGGAAAAAGATAAATATCCCTGGCTGGGAACCCAGAGAATGTTCTGCAAGATCAGCAGGATGTTTTCCACAACTTCCTTTTCTCTTGCGCACAGAATTTATGATAGGAAATACTTGAGGGTTTTTCCACTAGCAAATGGGAACGTTAAGGTCTTGATGCCAAGCACTATAAACCCTTGGCCAGCTGAGCTGACTGTTGTCACTTTTATTTGAGCTCTCTATGGGTTAGTTAAGAGCCCAGGCACTGGATGTCTGCAAATTTTAAGAATTCTCAAAGAATTAGGGCTGCTTTTCTTTAAGATATCCAGGCCCAAATCCACAAGCATGTTGACAGTGGATTATAGCATTTGTCTGGCAAAATCCAAGTTGTTACACTGTGTTTTTTAATGCATGTATTGTTGAGTGCAGAAACCTTGAGATCTACTTATCAGAACCAGGAAGATAAACACTTCAGGGCCATCACAACTGACATTTCTTTTCCTCAAAAACCTGGTGGACCCTGGGTCTGGGGCTCCACAATCCTGTGGCTTTTGTATTGGTTCCAGTTCTCACAAGCACATCCAAGTTGTCTTATTGAAGTAAGAAAATTTCCATAACCCGTGCACTGAGGCCTGGAATATCATCCTTGCTGGGTAAAACTTGTTATGATGCAATAAGTGCCAACTACTATTTCTCACCATGGAACTGGCCAGGAGAGAAAAATAAGAAGATCCCTTACATTTTAATACGTATATATGTAGGGAAGGATGGGAAAATTCATTCTGAGCTTAAAATAATGGAGTTTTAAAAGATAATGGAATAAAGTTATTTTTAAATAAATGCTTTAGTCATGTTGATTTATTCTTGATTAGTGAATGGAAAGATTTGGAAAAATGTTCCTCCTCCCCCTGGG